TCCATGCCTTTGCCTTTCACTACTATGTGACTGAAAATGACTAGTTCTAGTAGATCTGGAATCTGTCTCTGTGGATTGTCCATAATCAGAATGGCCATGTCTAGTGGTATCTCCTGTCTGTCCATAAGTAGTTTCCAGTCTCCCATGAACGACAGATCCTGACTCTCCATGTTGGGATCGGGCTTGGCCATGAGTGTGTCCTGAATGTGTGTGTGAGCCCCCTGAGTGCCCTTCACTGTCACTGTACTCACTGTGGCCAGATCCCCACTTGTTCTAGTAGATCTGGAATTGCGCCTCTCAGGGATTGGTCTATGGACCAGAATGGCCATGCTCAGTGGTATCTCCTGTCTGTCCATAAGTAGTTTCCAGTCTCCCGAACGACAGATCCTGACCTCCGCTGGGATCGGGCTTGGCCATGAGTGTGTTCTGGAATGTGTGTGTGAGCCCCCTGAGTGCCCTTCCACTGTCACTGTACCACTGTGGCCAGATCCTCTTCCAATTGTCCTGGAACTTGTCTGAAGTGGACTCTCCATGACCATATTGGGCATGTCTAGAGGTGTACTCCTGTCTGTCCATGCATAGTCTCTGTCTCCCGCGAACGGCAGATCCTGACTCTCCATGTTGGGATCCGACTTGGCCATGAGTGAACCTGGAATGTGTGTGAGACCCCTGAGTGCCCTTCACTGTCACTGTACTCACTGTGGCCAGATCCCCTTCTTCCAGCTGTCCTGGACCTCTGGTGGATTGTCCAAGACCAGACTGGCCATGTCTAGTGGCATCATCTCCTGTCTGCCCATGATGGTTCCTTGTCTCCCATGAACGGCAGATCCTGACTCTCCATGTTGGGATCCAGCTTGGCCATGAGTATGTCCTGAATGTGTGTGTGAGACCCCTGAGTGCCTCTCTACTGTCACTGTACTCACTGTGGCCAGATCCTCTCTCCAATTGTCCTGAACCTGTCTGTAGGGTCTCCCCACACCACACTGGCCATGTCCCAGCCACTGGTATCTCCTGTCTGTCCATGTAGAGTTCCCTGTCTCCCATGAACGACAGATCCTGACTCTCCATGTTGGGATCCGGCTTGGCCATGAGTGTGTCCTGAATGTGTGTGTGAGACCCTGAGAGTGCCCCTTCTACTGTCACCAGCTCACTGTGGCCAGATCCCCTTCTTCCAGTTATGGCAATCCTGACCCCGTCTGTGGGATTGCCCGCTTGTTCATATTGGGCATGTCTAGTGGTATCTCCTGTCTGTCCACGAGTAGTTCCCTGTCTCCCATGACCTGAGGATCCTGACTCTCATTGAGATCCCGCTTGGCTGTAAGTGTGTCCTGAATGTGTGCGGTGGTGGCAGTGAGACTCTGAGTGCACTTCTGTCATGACTGGACTCGCTGTGACTAGATTCTGTCTTCCACTGTCCTGGAACTCCAAGGTCTGTGTGGATCTCCATGACCAGACTGGCCATGTCTCAGTGGTATCTCCCCTGGGTCTGTCCATGTATAGCTCCCCTGTCTCCCATGAACGGCAGATCCTGACTCTCCATGTTGGGATCCGACTTCACATGAGTGTGTCCTGAATGCAGACCCCGAGTGCCCTCTTCACTGTCACTGTACTCACTGTGGCCGATCCCCTCTTCCAGCTGTCCTGGGACCTCTCTCAGGTGATTGTCCATGACCAGATTGGCCATGTCTAGTGGTAATGCTCCCAACAAACCATACAGGTATTCTTGTCTCCATGAACCAGATCCTGACTCTCCATGTTAGATCCAGCTTGGCCATGAGTATGTCCTGAATGTGTGTGAGACCCCCTGAGTGCCTCTTCACTGTCACTGTACTCACTGTGGCCAGATCCTTCTTCCAACTGTTGTCCTGGAACCTGTCTGTATGGACTTCATGACCAGACTGGCCATGTCTACTGGTATTCTCAAGTCTGGGTCTCGATGTAGACTCTTGTCTCCGCCATGGAACGCATAAGATCCTGACTCCATGTTGGATCCGGCTTGCCATGAGTGTGTCCTTGAATGTGTGGAGACTCCTGAGTGCCTCTTCACTGCTTCACTGTACTCACTGTGGCCAGATTCCTTCTTCCAGCTGCTGTCCTTCGCTGACCCTCTGTGTGGATTGTCCATGACCAGACTGGCTGTTCAGTGGTATCTCCAGTCTGTCCATGTATGGTTCCTTGTCTCCCATGAACGGCAGATCCTGACTCTCCATGTTGGGATCCAGCTTGGCCATGAGTATGTCCTGAATGTGTGTGTGAGACCCCTCGAGTGCCCTTCACTGTCACTGTAATCACTGTAACAGATCCTCTTCCAATTGTCCTGAACCTGTCTGTATGGACTCCCATGACCAGACTGGCCATGTCTAGTGGTATCCCCCAGTCTGTCCATGTATGATTCCTTGTCTCCCATGAACGGCAGATCCTGACTCTCCATGTTGGGATCCAGCTTGGCCATGAGTATGTCCTGAATGTGTGTGTGTGAGACCCCTGAGTGCCTCTTCACTGTCGTACTCACTGTACAGATCTCCTCTCTTCCAATTGTTCCTGAACCTGTCTGTGGACTCCCGCTTAATTGCAATTGGCCATGTTCAGTGGTATCCCCTGTCTGTCCATGTAGAGTTCCTCTGTCTCCCATGAACGGCAGATCCCTGACTCGACGTTGGGATCCGGCTTGGCCATGAGTGTGTCCTGAATGTGTGTGTGAGAACCCTGAGTGCCCTTCACTGTCACTGTACCACTGTGGCCAGATCCCCTTCTTCCAGTTGCCCTGGGACCCTGTCTGTGTGGGATTGTCCATGACCATATTGGGCATGCTCCAGTGGTGATCTCCTGTCTGTCCACGAGCAGTTCCCTGTCTCCATGACCTGAGAATCCTGACTCCATATTGAGATCCAGCTTGGCTGTAAGTGTGTCCTGAATGTGTGGGTGAGACCTCTGGAGTGCACCTTCAATGACTGGACTGCAGCTGCAGACTAGATCTCTTGAGCTTTTCCACCGTTCCCAATCTGTTCGCGGTGTAGACTCTCCATGACCAGATCAGGGCCATGTCTGGGTGGTACTCCTGTCTGTCCATGTATAGTTCCCTGTCTTCCATGAAGGGCAGATCCTGACTCTCCATGCTGGGATCCGGCTTGGCCATGAGTGAATGTGTGTGAGACCTGAGCCACTGTCGTACTCACTGTGGCCAGGATCTCTCTTCCAGCTGTCCTGGACCCCTGTGGATCACAAACCATGACTGTGATCTGGCCAAGGCACCAGTGGTATCTCCAGTCTGTCCATGCATGGTTCCTTGTCTCCCATGAACGGCAGATCCTGACTTCATGTTGATCCAGCTTGGCCATGAGTATCCTGAATGTGTGTGTTGAGACCCTGAGTGCCCTTCATAATGTCACTGTACTCACTGTGTACATAGATCCCCTTCTCTCCAGTTGTCCCTGACCTCTCTGTGAGATTTCTGTCCATGACCAGACTGGCCATGTTCAGTGTGATATCTCCTGGGTTCAGTCCATGAGTAGTTTGTTGCCCTCGTGAACTGTGGATTCTGACTCTCCATGTTGAGATCCAGCTTGGCCATATGTGTCCTGGGAATGTGGCCCCCTGAGGCCCTCTTCACTGCGTCACTGTACTGTGCCACTGTGTCCAGATCCTTCTTCCAGCTGTCCTGACCCTGTCTGTGTGGGTTGTCCATGACCATAGGCATGTCTGGCAGCACTTCCTGTCTGTCCATGTATAGTTCCCTGTCTTCCATGAACGGCAGATCCCACCTGTTGGGATCCGGCTTGGCCATGAGTGTGTCCTGGAATGTGTGTGTGAGACCCCTGAGTGCCCTTCAGCCGCTGTAACACACTGTGGCCAGATTCCCTTCTTCCAGCTGGGTCTGGACCTCTCTGTGTGGAGAGTCAGTCTGGCTGACCACTGGCCATGTTCAGTGGTATCTCCAGTCTGTCCATGTATGTCTTGTCTCCCATGAACGGCAGATCCTGACTCTCCATGTTGGGATCCAGCTTGGCCATGAGTATGTCCTGAATGGGTGTGAGACCCCTGAGTGCTCCTCACTGTCACTGTACTCACTGTGTCCAGATCCCCTTCTTCCAGCTGTCCTGGACCCTGTCTGTGTGGGTTGTCCATGACCATAGTGGGCATGTCTAGTGGTATCTCCTGTCTGTCCATGTATAGTTCCCTGTCTTCCATGAACGGCAGATCCTGACTCTCCATGCTGGGATCCGGCTTGGCCATGAGTGTGTCCTGGAATGTGTGTGTGTAGACCCCCGAGGTGCCCTTCACACTGCTGTCACTGTACTCACTGTGGCCAGATCCCCTTCTTCCAGTTTTCCTGGACCCTCTCTGTGTGGATTGTCCATGACCAGACTGGCCATGTGTAGTGGTATCTCCTGTCTGTCCATGTATGGTTCCTTTGTCTCCCAAGTGAACGGCAGATCCTGACTCTCCATGTTGGGATCCAGCTTCTGGGCCGCGAGTATCCTGAATGTGTGTGTGAGAACCCTGAGTGCCCTTCACTGTCACTGTACTCACTGTGGCCAGATCCCCTTCTTCCAATTGTCCTGGAACCTGTCTGTATGGACTCCCCATGACCAGACTGGCCATGTTCAGTGGGTACCTCCCTGGGTCTGTCCATGAGTAAAGCCTGGGTGTCTCTTGTTAACTGTGGATTCTGAGTCTCCAGTATGTTGAGATCCGGGCTTGGCCATGAGTGTATTCTTGTGAGTGTGTGGTCTGTGGTGATCTCTGAGTGCACTTCACTGTCACGCTGACTCACTGTGCCTAGATCTCTGTCCTCCTTGTCCTGACCCTGTCTGTGTGGGTTTTTGTCCATGACCAGAGTGGCCATGTTCAATGGTATCTCCCTGACTGTCCTTTGAGTATTTGTTGTTTCTCATGAACTGTGGGATTCTGGACTTCCATGTTGAGATCCAGCTTGGCCAAGGAGTGTATCCCGAATGTGTGGAGCTCCCCTTGCTGAGTGCCTCTTCACTGTCACGTATCTACTCGTGGCCAAATCCCCTTCCAGTTGTCCTGACCCTGTCTGTGTGGGATTCATGACCAGACTGGCCATGTCTAGTGGTATCTCCAGTCTGTCCATGTATGGTTCCCTGTCTGCCATGAACGGCAGATCCTGACTCTCCATGTTGGGATCCGGCTTGGCCATGAGTGTCCTGAATGTGTGTGTGACTTCTGAGTGCCCTTCACTGTCACTGTACTCACTTTCGTGGCCAGATCCCCCTTCCCTCCAGCTGTCCTGGACCCTGTCTGTGTGGATTGTCCATGACCAGACTGGCCATGTCTAGTGGTATCTCCTGTCTGTCCATGTAGAGTTCCCTGGGTTCTCCCATGAACGCAGATCCTGACTCTCCACGTTGATCCGGCTTGGCTGGCGAGTGTGTCCTGGGAATGTGTGTGTGAGAACCCTGGAGTGCCTCACTGTCACTGTATCCTCCTCCACCAGCTGATCCCCTTCCAGCTGGGTCTTGACCCTGTCTGTGTGGGATTGCCCATGACCATGGCTGGGCATGCCCAGTGGCATTCTCCTGTCTGGTCTACTTCCAGTAGTTCCTGTCTCCCCATGACCTGAGATCCTGACTCTCCACACAGATCCAAGCTTGGCTGTAAAGTGTCCTGAATGTGTGGGTGAGACCTCTGAGTGCACTTCACTATGACTGTGACTCGCTGTGACTAGATCTCCTGTCTCCAACTGTCCCCATGGAACTGCTCAGGTGGACTCTCCATGACTGACTGGCCATGTTCACAGTGGGTATCTCTGTCTGTCCATGTATAGTTCCCTGTCTCCCCATGAACGTGTGCAAGATCCTGACCTCCATGTTAACTGGTCACATGAGTGTGTCCTGAATGTGTGTGTGAGACCCCTGGGAGGCCTCTTCGCACTGTCGCTACCTACTGTGTCCAGATCTCTTCTTCCAGCTGTCCCTGGACCCTCTCTGTGATTGAAAGTCCATGACCAGACTGGCCATGTCTAAAAAGTGGTGGCATTCCCAGTCTGTCCATGTGATATTCCTTGCCTCCGCGAACGGCAGGCAGATCCTGACTTCCATGTTGGGATCCAGCTGGCCAGAGCATGTCCTGAATGTGTGTGTGTGTGTGAGACCCTGAGTGCCCCCTTCTGCTGTACTCACTGTGGCCAGATCCCCTCTTCCAGTTGTTCGGACCCTCTCTGTGTGGATTGTCCATGACCAGACTGGCCATGTTCAGTGATATCTCCTGTCTGCCCATGAGTAGTTTGTTGTCTCTCGTGAATGCCCGTGGATTCTGAATTCTCCATGTTGAGATCCAGCTTTCGGCTTAAGCATGTGTGTCCTGAATGTGTGTGGGGGCCCCCCCCTGAGTGCCCTTCACTGTCACTGTACTCACTGTGTCCAGATCCCCTTCTTCCAGCTGGCCTGGACCCTGTCTGTGTGGGTTGTCCATGACCATAGTGGGCATGTCTAGTGGTATCTCCTGTCTGTCCATGAGTAGTTCCCTGTCTCCCATGACCTGAGGATCCTGACCCTCCATGTTGAGATCCAGCTTGGCCGTGAGTGTGTCCTGAATGTGTGTGTGAGATCCCTGAGTGCCCTTCACTGTCACTGTACTCACTGTGGCCAGATCCCCTTCTTCCAGTTGTCCTGGACCCTCTCTGCGTGGATTGTCTATTATGATAGTGGGCATATCTAGTGGTATCTCCTGTCTGTCCATGAGTAGTTCCGTGTCTCTCGTGAACTGTGGATCCTGACTCTCCATGTTGAGATCTGGCTTGGCCATGAGTTTGTTCTTGTGATTGTGGTCTATGTGAGCCCCCTGAGTGCACTTCACTGTCACTGGACTCACTGTGGCCAGATCCCCTTCTTCCAGTTGTCCTGGACCCTATCTGTGTGGACTGTCCATGACCAGAATAGCCATGTCCAGTGGCATCTCCTGTCTGTCCATAAGTAGTTTCGTGTCTCTCATGAACTGTGGATTCTGATTCTCCAAGTTGAGATCCAGCTTGGCCGTGAGTTTGTTCTTGTGAGTGTGGTCTATGTGAGACCCCTGAGTGCACTTCACTGTCAGTGGCATCACTGTGGCTAAATCTCTGTCTTCCAGTTGTTCTGGAACCTGTCTGTGTAGACTGTCCATGACCAGAGTGGCTATGTCTAGTGGTATCTCCTCTCTGTCCATGAGTAGTTCTTTGTCTTCTGTGAACTGTAGATCCTGACTCTGGGTAATGAGATCCAACTTGTGTGTGAATGTGTTCTGAATGTCTGTGTGAGACCCTTGAGTGCACTTCACTGTCACTGTTCTCACTTTGGCTAGATCTTCGTCTTCTACTTACCCTGGACCCCGTCTGTGTGGATTGTCCTTGACCAGACTGGCTATGTCTAGCGGTATTTATTGTCTGACCATGAGTAGTTTCCTGTCTCCCGTGAACTGTGGATCCTGACGCTACTTGTTGTGATCCACCCTGGCCCAAGCCAGTTGATTGACCTGAGCCTGAACCATATTGGCCAAATCCAGTGGACTGACCTGAGCCAGATATATGTTGTCCAGAACTAGAGAAATTGTCTGAGCCAGACACATGCTGTCCAAAACCTGTGGTTGGACCTGAGCCAGACTCACGTTGGCCACAGCCAGATGATTGACTTGAGCCAGTACCATGTTGGCCATAGCTAGACTGACCTGATCTGTACTCATGCCATGCAAAGCCAGAGGATTGTCCTGTGCCTGACCCATGTTGTCCAAAGCCAGAGGACTGTCCTGAGCCCAATCCATATTGGCCAAAGCCAGAGGATTGACCTGAGCCTGACCTGTGTTGTCCAAATCCAGATGTCTGTCCTGAACTAGACCCATGTTGACCATAGCTAGATGACTGACTTGAGCCAGAACCATGTTGGCCATAGCTAGATTGATATGATCTAGACTCATGTTGTCCAAAACCAGAGGACTGTCCTGAGCCAGTCCCATGTTGTCCAAAGCCACTGGACTGACCTAAGCCTGATCCATGTTGGCCAAAGCCAGAGTACTGACCTGAGCTTGACCTGTGTTGGCCAAATCCAGTTGTATGTCCTGAACTAGACCCATGTTGACAATAGCCAGATGACTGACTTGAGCCAGAACCATGTTGGCCATAGCTAGACTGATGTGATCTAGACTCATGCTGTCCAAAACCAGAGAATTGTCCTGAGCCAGTCCCATGTTGTCCAAAGCCACTGGACTGACCTAAGCCTGATCCATGTTGGCCAAAGCCAGAGTATTGACTTGAGCTTGACCCCTGTTGTCCAAAGCCAGATGTCTGTCCTGAACTTGACCCATGTTGACCATAGCCAGATGATTGACCTGAGCCAGAACCATGCAGGCCATAGCTGGACTGATGTGATCTAGACTCATGCTGTCCAAAGCCAGAGGATTGTCCTGAGCCTGACCCATGTTGTCTAAAGCCAGAGGACTGACCTGAGCCTGATCCATGTTGGCCGAAGCTGGAAGACTGACCTGAGCTTAACTCGTGTTGTCCAAATCCAGATGTCTGTCCTGAACTCGACCCATTATGACCACAGCCAGATGATTGACTTGAGCCAAAACCATGTTGGCCACAGCTAGAATGACCTGATCTAGACTCATGTTGCCCAGAACCAGAGGATTGTCCTGAACCAGACCCATGTTGTCCAAAGCCAGAGTACTGACCTGAGCCTGATCCATATTGGCCAAAGCCAGTGGATTGACCTGAGCCCGAACTATGTTGTCCAAAGCCAGATGTCCATTTAGACCCATGTTGGCCATAGCCAGATGACTGACTTGAGCCAGAACCATGTTGTCCATAGCTAGACTGACGTGATCTAGACTCATGTTGCCCAAAACCAGAGGATTGTCCTGAGCCAGACCCATGTTGTCCAAAGCCAGAGGACTGACCTGAGCCTGATCCATGTTGGCCAAAGCTGGAAGATTGACCTGAGCTTAACTCATGTTGTCCAAATCCAGATGTCTGTCCTGAACTCAACCCATGTTGACCACAGCCAGATGATTGACTTGAACCAAAACCATGTTGGCCATAGCTAGACTGACCTGATGTAGACTCATGTTGTCCAAAACCAGAGGATTGTCCTGAGCCAGACCCATGTTGTCCAAAGCCAGAGGACTGACCTGAGCCCGATCCATATTGGCCAAAGCCAGTGGATTGACCTGAGCCTGATCCATGTTGTCCAAAGCCAGATGTCTGTCTAGACCCATGTTGGCCATAGCCAGATGACTGACTTGAGCTAGAACTGTGTTGGCCATAGCTAGACTGACCTGATCTAGACTCATGTTGTCCAAAGCCAGAGGATTGTCCTGAGCCAGACCCATGTTGTCCAAAGCCAAAGGACTGACCTGAGCCTGATCCATACTGGCCAAAGCCAGTGGATTGACCTGAGCCCAACCCATGTTGTCCAAAACCAGATGTCTGTCTAGATGCATGTTGGCCATAGCCAGATGATTGACTTGAGCCAGAACCATGTTGTCCATAGCTAGACTGACATGATCTAGACTCATGTTGTCCAAAACCAGAGGATTGTCCTGAGCCAGACTCATGCTGTCCAAAACCAGAGGATTGTCCTGAGCCAGACTCATGCTGTCCAAAACTAGAGGATTTTCCTGAGCCAGACCCATGCTGTCCAAAGCCAAAGGATTGACCTGAGCCTGATCCATGTTGGCCAAAGCCAGAGGAATGACCTGAGCCAGACCTGTGTTGTCCAAAGCCAGATGTCTTACCTGAGCTAGACCTATGCTCATCATAGCCTGAGGATTGACTTGATCTAGACCCATACTGGCCACAAGTTTGACCTGAGCCAGCTACATGTTGTTCGAAGCCAGAGGACTGACTCAAGCCTGTTCCATGTTGTTCACAGCTAGTAAACTGACCTGAACCAGACTGATGTTTACCACATTTGGAAAATTCATTTGAACTAGAAGAGTTTGAAAAGCGGCCACAGGAACCATGTTCATGTTGACCATTACTACAAGACTGGCTACCTCCAGACTCATATTGTCCACAAAACGAGGACTGACTTGAGCCTGTTCTCTGTTGTCCTCCACAGTTCTGTGGTTGACCATTTTCTTGAGCTCCATATCCCCTCTGACTATAGGACTGACTACAGGAGTTAGACTCAAGTTGACCACATCCAGAGGGCTGACCTCCTGAGACACAGTCATGGCCTTGTCCTCCATTAATTCCTGACTGACAGCCTGACTGAATATAGCTAGATTGATTTACTTGCCCTCCAAATCTATGTGACTGACAAGAATTTGAAGCATTTTGTGGCCTTCCGCACCCACTTGAATTGCTATAACCACATTCATGACTTCGCCTCCAACTATCTCCTGAACATGAACGGCTAAACCCAAGCTTTTGTCCTCTACTTCTTGACTGAGTAGAGTTTGATTCATGCCCACTAATCTCCAATCCACATGACAGACCACCATGACCTTTCCTTTCCCAACTCTTTGATCCAGATCCAGATTCATATTCTTCCCCAAATTCCCTAGAAGGGCTAACATGTGACTTGTTTATTCTTTCCCTCAGTTCTCCAGAGCTGAAACCATGTCTCTCTTTGCCACTACTCCATGAGTGACCAGAGCTGGACCTGTGGTACCTTTTCTGAGATCCCTCTTGGTTTCCAGAGCTGGATAAATTACCTTGTCTTCCTAGCCTCCTGGAGTTGGACCCATGTCTACGTTTCACAGTTCCCCTTGAGTGCCCAGAACTATATCCATGCTCCTCTCCCTCACTCCAACTTGAATGTCTGTAACCTGATTCATGTTCTGGGGTATCCTCTTCATCCTCTTCTGTTTCACTTTCTTCCTCTTGGTGTCGGTGACCACGCCTATGCTTCTTTGACCCTGAAGCTTTGCAGTATTCTTTGCTGAGGACCTTGTTGCAGGCCATAGTCAGCTTGAATATCATCAAAAGAAACTCAGTAAAGTCCAATCTTCTGTCATGATCTCGATCCAGCATGTGCATGATGACATCCACTGTGTCTGGATCATCTGGGTTCTGTATATGAGTGACATACCAAAGGAGACCTGGTCAGCCTCACCTGCATACTCAGCCAACACATTCAAATAGTGCTGTGAAATTGTGGATGTTTGACATGATGTAGTTTTAGTCCAATGGAGGATTACTTTAGGTTAATAGAACCCAGTAAATGTTAAGGGTTAATAGAAAATAAAGACTACTGGGATCCTCAGAAGAAGACATTTCAAGGATTTAAGCTAAAGGATTAAGTGCTTAGGTAAGGCCTACAGGAAGGAGTGGAATAAACTAAGTTCAGTAACTGATATTTCTAAGTTTTACATAAATTGTAACTAGTACATGATTACATGTTAATATATTCCATGTTAGAATTTATCATATATTATTTTGAAGCTAGTAACTGAGTCCTTTTTTTTTTTTTTTTTGAGACAGAGTTTCACTCTGTAACCCAGGCTAGGGTGCAGTGGCACGATCTCTGCTCACTGCAAGCTCCGCCTCCCGGGTTCATGCCATTCTCCTGCCTCAGCCTCCCGAGTAGCTGGGACTACAGGGGCCTGCCACCACGCCTGGCTAATTTTTTGTATTTTTAGTAAAGACAGGGTTTAGTAGAGACAGGGTTTTAGGGTTTCACCGTATTAGCCAAGATGGTCTTGATCTCCTGACCTCGTGATCCACCCGCCTCAGTCTCCCAAAGTGCTGGGATTACAGGAGTGAGCCACCATGCCTGGCTGAGTCCTTTTTAAGTAGAGGGAATAAAATGCTGATATTTTATTTTTGATTCTTAATCATACCTATTTTGTCAGCTTGCCATGTAGATGATTTCCCTTTCTATACTTTTTTTTTCCCATTTGATAAGATAATTTATTTATTCCTGTCCTAGCACAAATTTATTTTCTGCTTTTTCTAAGGAAAATCCTGGGTATATAAGAAAGTCTGAGAGTCTATAAGGTAGGAGTGCATAGGTGGAAAAGTGAGGATGAAACATTCACTTTCTTTAAAATATATGCTGCTTTAACAGACTTTCTGGCATCCCCAAAATAGTGCTCATAGAGGTTGCTTAGAGTCTACGGGGGCTGTGCACATTTTAGCTGATCTGGATCATATAACAGAGCATGTACAGGACTCCAGGAGCCTTCAGTTCTGGCACATGGTTCTCACCTTCAGAATTGGATGAAACTCTTTCTCCAGAAGTTCCTTTAGTTCATCCTTGCTCAGTGTGCCACACTCCCCATCTTGCTTGGTGTATTTGTAGAAAACATCAATTACAGTGACAACACTTCTCAAGAGGTCAGTCATCTTTTTGCAAGTTTAAGTGAACCTGGACACAGAGAAAAAAAGAACCCTATTATTCATATTTTCCCCTTTTAACTTATCAGCAATTTTCATTTTAATAATAACTATCATGATTTTTTTAACTTCTTGTTTCTTTTTTTTTTTTTTAATTATACTTTAAGTTCTAAGGTACATGTGCGCAACGTGCAGGTTTGTTACATATGTATACATGTGCCATGTCTCTTGTTTCTTTTAAATCTCAAAAAGTAAGAATGGGCCAGGGATGATACAACACTGTTGAACACAATGAAAATTAACTTTGTTAACTTTGAGTTACTTTTCTATGATCAACTCTTGGCATGTTACTGTTTCAACTGAGTATAGACCTCAGGTCTCTATATTTCTTGTCATGGGTAAGTATAGTCTCTACATAGTATCTCTACACTTTGAGTGTGTTGTTCTAAGGCTTCCAAAGTTTCCAGAACCAGCCAGACACCATTGCCTCAATCTCTCTTTCTAGTTTCACTGCTTTTCTTGAGTCAAAAGTGACAGACCTTCCACCATGCACATCTGTTTATCCTATGGGCACCAGAAGCTAAACTGGACCCTTAAGGCCTTCAGCAAATTAAAAATGGGTGAAGGGGCTCAAAGTAGCTTGGTGTTTTAGAGGCATGAGATAGCCCTCAGTAGAGCTTAGGAACTCTCTTAATGTCAAGCACTTGACCAAACACCCTTCTCTTTAAATAATCAAGAAGAAGAGCAATGCAAGCAGCAGTTTAACTAGTGGATAAGTAGATCTTGGAGTTCTGGGAACCAACACTGAACAAGGAAGGGACTCTGTAACAGTCCCAGTTGCCTCCCAGTTTGAGCTGGACAACCCAGAAAAGAGAGCATGGAAAAAGACTGGAACAGAGTGTGGAATGGCCTAGAGGAAGGCGAACTTCTACTTGCATTATTCTTGTCCATAAAAATGAACCTATTCCAAAAAGACCCCAGAATAAACTAAACTAACCAAACAAATAAGCAAACAAAAAGAAAAGAAAATGAAAGAAAGAAACAAAAAAGAAAAGAAAGGCAAAATATACATGAACTCTGCCTTAGTTTTTATCCCTAGACTTCTACTATGGACAGCACCAAATATTCATAAATGTAGCTGGATGAATTATCTCTCACCTGGTTCACCAAAGGAACAAGTAGGATAAAGCCTGATGCAGCTTGCAGGGTGACGATGGATTGGGATAATGACCCTTATATAGCTTGTAGTGATTATAGTGAGTGAGGTGACTCATTAAACCTAACTCCACCTCTACATATTTACCTTCCTCCTTCACATTCTCATCTACAGATGATTGCAGAAAGGCTAGTACCAGCCCCACCTTCCAGTATGAGGACATGGTTGCAAGATACCTTTTTTTCAGGGTCATATACATGTGAAAAGCACAGACTTTGTTTTAGAGGACTCATGTTATACATTTCTTTTATTTAGTACCCACAGAAAGTAGCAGATTGTAAGATGTTTGCAAGGTGCACAATAAATGCTTATTTAATTGAAAATGAACCTGAGTCACTAGGTTCACCTAATTCACGTCTTTTTTGTAATAACGAAAAGCGACATTTATTGAGAATGTACTATGTGCTAGATAGT